AAAAATATAAATGATAAATTTACACTAAGTTGTGCATAATTATCCTTTGACACAGAGTCACGCATAATTGCCAGTTATGCTGGGCACGCTTTCGCACTAGTCGCACATGTTGCGCAATATCATATATCGTAGAAAGAAAGAGAGAAATACAGAGAGAGAAAAAGAACAGGTTTTGTCTATAAGCAAAATCTATGAAAATATTTATTTTTTACGATAGTTGTAGATTCTTCAACATATGAGTGTTTGATCGAATCGTTTTCTCAATTGTATTTTGATTAATTAAATACTTTCTAAAAGTATAAGATATGAAAATAAATGTAATTATAAAAAATAAAATAAGATTACAAGAAACGCGAGAAATTTAGGAAAATAAAAATTGGTAGATTAATGTGCAATTATTGAATAAAGATCTTATTTTAAATTTGATTATAATAAATCCGTTTAATTTAAATTTTTTAAAAATAATATTTAATAATAATGTTATAAAGATGTCTATAATTTTGCATGAAAATTAAATATTGCTAATTGTAGAGGAAACTTTCTGAAAACTTTCTTTAAGTACTTGTGTACTCATATCGAGATATTCAGTTGCACGAGCAGTTAAGATATATGGCTTACATAATATTATTCGATTCTAACATTTCACGTTTCACACGTATCGTACTGTTTTGACAAATGTTTTCGGAATCTCTCTTGAAATTTAGTCGCTGCGTTTTGTCTACGTAATCGATAAAGTTAAATATTAGACACACACAAAGTCTTTGGCAACTCTCTCTAAAACAACCACTGGAAAGAGTGATGTTCTCGGTCAAACGCTTGTCTGAATACGTTGGCAAGACTTCAATACATCATGAATGATTATGCGACAAGATAATAGATGGAAAAGTGCTATAGAAATCGACATGGTTCTTAAACAACATCATTCAATTTGATGTCAAAACTATCTTATATTCGATAAAGAGAAAATCTTCTTTTATTAAAATCTCTTTAAATTATTCTGTTAGAGGATAGAAAAATACTGGACCTATTATTCAAATTTCGATTGATGCGTGATTTTTTACTGTGCACATTATTCGTCCAGTTGAAACTTTTTTAAATATTTAATGAAGAGACTGGCAGTTCATTCATATTTCTTTGCCATGTTTGCTTCATGTTCCACGGAGTTCATTCAACTCTTTATCTAGATATCCTTCAATTTCTGGATTCTTGTCCGCAAATCAATCGTCGGCGGTCTTCTCGATGATGTGTTTCTTCATCGTATCAACGTGTCGTCACCCAATGCCAAAATTATTTCCAAATCGTTCCGTCGTGTCGTAACGCGCTTTTCGGTCTCGGACACTAATTTTATTCCCATATGACGTTCTTCCTCGCCCAAGCTCGACGCTAAATTTTTGCACGCTTATATGACTTTACTGATTAATCAATCGTAGAACTATAAATAGGAATACGCAATTGTTGAATAATCACTTTTAGATAAAGTCAAAAAGGTATATTATTAAATTTTAGTTTTCATTTCTACGAGGAAACTTGTAGCTTTATGCTTTATGAATCGCCATAAATATATAAGTATAATATAAGGCATAATTCGAATACATATAGACCCGACATGAAATAATATATTTTCAAAATGAAAGCTATCGCAGTTAGCAATTATGCGTAATAACAGCCCTCCTTTCTTATACTCTCATCCACTCATCTCTTCGCTTTTCTTTTATATTTGTACGCTTTTTCCAATCTCGTGGATAGCGGCTTTTCCGGAGAAATCAAAAGTGTGTCTCGAGTTGTGTCGTTTGCTCCACTTCCAGCAGTCATCAGTATACCTCATTATAATGTAATTTCCGTAAATCCGCTACTTTTTCCCGGCCTTTCCTGTGCGCGGTGGGTAATAATAATAATTATCATTATAATCGACGCTATTATGCAGATCTCGCGATCTGTGAATCGCCTCGCGAAGACGCGCGATCGTGCCGTCTTGCTAATCGCGAACTCTTGACAATGAACTAAATAACGACGAGCTGCAATGTACACGTGTATGTCTAGGTTAGCAGTGACAACTTTACAGATTCATTCTTTGATACATGAAATTAGATTGTGACAGAGTTTCTCGCTCCAAAGATTACGAGGCTGACTCAGATTATGTTAGACGTGTTACGTCAGATATATTTCTTTTTTTAATTTTATTGCTAATATAGTATTCTTCCTTCAAATTAAAGTTTCAATTTCAAATATAGATACAAGTGAAAAGGATTAATTTTTGATTTTTATTAGATTTTTGTTTATTGCATTTAAAAATGCATTGAAAATATTAAAACTCTGCACAGAATGTATTATAACATTCTCTCAGCTTTATTAATACCTTCATCTCTTAATTGGAGACCGAATATTTGAGAAAAAAATAACAGCAGATAGGATACAGAAGAGAGAATGTTCGACTCTCATTATTATTTAATCTCGTTATTATTTAATAAATTTCACTATTTTGTTGAAAATCTCTGTATTTTCCTGATACGCGTGACAGACACGAAATGCAACATGCTGTTGCACATCGATGAACGACGTCATCCTATTTCCAATGTTGCATATTTATCATCAACGATACGTGGCAATGATCCACATAATCGTCATTCAACCATCATTAAGCAGGGCGATGAGAGAATTGAAATTGCACAGCTGACCGGCTTCGTTCGCAAAGGACGAGGCCGGACACCCACGAAGAATCGATGGATAAAAGCATTGAAATACATAGCGTCCTATCAAAAGGATCGGACGGTATATAAATTAACAGTGTTAGAGAAAATATTATTGCGTCTCTCGAAGAAAAGAAAGTGTCGGTAAAAGTCGCATCTTCGATTGTAGATTCGCGGGCAAATTTCATGCAGGTCGTCTTGGATAGTGAAATCAAAGTACGAAATCGAGCATCGATGTTCGACAAGTTTCGCAAGAAAACGTTCACGATCGTCCAGACGGGATCACTCATTTCCGAAGCATGTCGAAAATCGCGCGATCGCCGCAAGGGTCTATAAATAAATCCCGCGAGATGACGAGAACGTAATCGGCGAGCGCAGTTCTCGTTGTTTTTCTGTTTTCACGATCAAGTTTGCCCGACCGAGAGGGGCTGGCTGACTAGCCGAGTCGCTGACACTGGCATTGGCCTACTCTCTCTCCACAACGTCGTTCACTCTCCTGCTTCGCGCTCGTGTTCTCACTCTCTTTCATTTCATGCTCCAAGATAAAACACGACTGCGTCTCCATTTTCCACTCATCGCACTTTTCTCCTTCGCTCTCCTCTTCCGGACTCGCGCTTTCCCTACTGCTCGATAATTAAATTGCTTCGATATTTGCAATATCATTTTATTCCACTGAAAAAAAAATATCATTTTATTCCATTGAAAAAAAATATCATTTTATTCCACTGAAAAAAAAATATTTAGAGGAGGAAGCAACCACGAGATACTTGAAAAAATTAAGAAAGAATTTTTGCTCATCGACGATACATGAAAAAATAAAAATACCTGACTGAGTTGCTCGAGTTAAATAATTCGCTGGATAATATTATATACGAGCAAAGATGTAGTTGCATAAGTAATACGCTAAATAATTTATAAACGACAGAAACCAAACATATATTTGTTTGGCGCCAAATGTGTAGTGCGTATTTCACATAAATTTTACTCCGCAAATATTAGATCAGACCAGTTTATTCTGTTCTGACGATCTTTTTCCAGTTGGCAAAAATCATAAGATTTTATTTTTTCTTTTACCACAAACAGAAGCTTATGCTTCAAAATTAAAGAATAAAATTGCAAAACACAAGAATATATCGAAAACCGTACTAAACATTTGACGCTTTATCAGTCTGTTGATATAAATCTCATTAATATGCTCGCTCTTCACGTTATAAATGTTATGATGGTAGTGATAGTAAATAGATCGACACATATAAATCAATCGAAAGAGAGAAAGACGAAACCTGGTGCACGCTACACGACGGTCGTCCGGCTCGACCTGGTTTCCAGCGAGAAAAGTCGTTCGCTTCTTGCACGCTCGAGATCGAAGAAGAGACCGTGCTGTTACGAATGGCAGGACGACGCTCTTCCCGATTCTGGACACAGTGAAAAGCATCTCTCTTCTCCCCCAGCCACAGCCTCTCTCGCTCGCTCACGGCTCTCTCCCTCGTTCTGTCATGAAAGTGCTGCAAGTGGAGCGCACGCCGGCTGTGCGCGACAATAAAGCTATACTTTTATTTATAACTGGCCGACTTATATACACATATACAAGTACACACATATACGTACGAGTCGATGGCCCGCCAATAGACAAGGGATGGTTACAGATCGCGTCGCGCGAGGCCTCGTGGATGAGAGAGTGGAAAATGGAAGCGCGACGAGAGAGTGCGAAAGGGGCGCGCAAGAAAAATCTCGACGGACGATGACAATCTCCCTCTGCGAGAGAGCTGCCTGCACCGGTCGGAAGAATTCGTTTTCCTTTTGCCGAACGAGATCGATACGAGGAGGACGTGAGAGAGCCTGAAGAAGAGTACTCCACCCTAGATCTTTGGCGCGGACTTTCCAATAAAAGTTGGATAATTTGTTGCGAAATGATGAATCCAAATCCGATAACGGAAGGATACGAAGTTGAGTTTCTCTACGTGAGCTGCATCGCGAAACCAGTGCCATCATAAATCGATTCATTTCGCGCTGATTAATTTATCTCGGAAATGATTCAATTACACCTTTAATTAATATACTTCAGCGAAGTAAGGAAGTATGTCGCATTTGTGATAATTTAAAATTAGCGATATCAATTAATGGTCTTAATGTATTAGCATCAAATTATCTATTCGTCGATCAATTTTATTTATCAAACATCAAGTTTTTGAAATTTTCAATAAAAATTTTCTGTACCATTCTTAACGTACATTCAAAATTAAATTTTCGACGTATATTAGTATCCTTGCGGCCAGAATTTTGTTTTTTTTCTCATAAATTTAAAATGTAAAATGTTTCAGCAAACACGGAATCGTTTTTTAGATTTCTATTTTTTTCAAAAGATAAATAAAATAATAGATCTTTGAAAAAGAATTCTTAATGATGTTATGTATCTGATTGAATGTAAAACAACTTCAAATGTAAAAATATCGAATCAAAGTATCAAATCGAAATTTTTGTGACCCGATTGATTCACAATTTACCGCTAGTCGAAAACTCGAAAGAGTCATCATAATAATGCCTCGAATGACTCGCAGAAGCGTCGTGTCGAGAGTCTTCATCTTCTGGTAAAGAGAAAAGCGGCGGGATCGAAAGGAAGATCAAGAGGAGCTAACTAGCGCAACGCGTTAACCGACGCACTTAGGGAACACTTTCTTTTATGGTTGGCGCACCGAGGACGGCCGAAGGTGAGAAGAACAAGGAAACCGACCTCCGGTGCAACGACCCGCCGCGAAGTGTGTCGGTTGTGGGCGCAATCGCAATGATTTTGAAAAATGCCCGTTCCACTTTTGCAAGGGAGTACTTTCACGGTCGCTAACCCTGCGACTGACGATGAGAGAATCTCGTGTACCGCCTCTCGATACGACGCCAGCTACCTGCGCTTTTATGCTGTCAAATTGCCCGGGTTCACGGGCTCTCTAAATGGAAAAGACCGCTCGTCGTAAAAACCACTTCTTGTAAACTGCGTGTGATCCCGCCGGTCAATATCAGCACGCAGGGAAAGAACGACGTCCCAGGGGAGGTCGACGTATGTGAACCAATGAGTCGAACAAACATCGCCGAATCTGTTTAAAAAGAAATAGAGAAAATTAATAGAATAGAACAGTTTATATGGACAAATAACAAATCAACATAAAGATAATAATTTGAAACAATTATTGACAGTGACAATTATTGAGAGCGACAGGAGAAAATATTCCTACTTAAAAGAAAAGGTTTATAAAAAGATAAGCTTTATTAAATTATATTCGAAAATTTGCAAAGAAAATGTAGAAGTATCATTTTGTACGTCTATATATAAAATAAGAATAATTATATATTTTTCCAAGAATAAAAAAAATTAATTAAATTAACAAAATATACGTATAATTGGTTTAAAAAAATGATAAATTAATAATAATAATAATAAAGGCTTGTTTAAGAAAAGCGTAGGTAGTATTGCGTTTTATAAATCTATAAATTTTTTAATTAAAAAAAAAAATATATATATATATTTTTTTTTTTATATATATATATTTTGCAAGTTGAAATGGGATCCACTTGTCTGTTCAAAATCTGATTCATTCGAGCATATCGTGAATCTTGAACAAGGTTCTTGATTATGTCGTTTTCTGCTCTCTCTCCCTCTCCCTCTCTCTCTCTCTCTTTCCCTCAATTTATTTCAACGAGAGCAACGATTTTTCGTCCTAGGTCGCGTCACGAGGATTTCCCTCGGTTTCTCAACTTTTATCTTCAGCGGATCATCGTCCACGGGGCCCACTTTTCACCGTAAATTCTCACGATATCGTGCTCGGAAAGTAGCGAAAACGTGCTCGAGCATCTCTTTCCCTTCCCTTCCGCTGCGCCTCTCGGTTCTCGGGAGGATCGCTTTTGCACAGTCCGCGCACCGTGCACGGAGAATAAAACTGTCATCTCGAAAGTTGGCCTACTATCTCCCCGATCGCGATAATAGCCCCGCAGTCGCGAGAGGCGTCTTCCTTCTCTCTTCGACGACGCCAATCTCCTAATGCTCCGTAGAAAAACGAAGCTCTCTGTCGTAGCTCTTCGTATCTTTTGCGCCCGCTCTCCTTTTCTCTCCAGGCAAGTACATGAGAAAAACAGATAGTGAAATAAAAAAAATACAGGCACACGGTAGAAACGTGATAACAAACGCAACTTGTAGGAAATCTGTTATCTAACAAGGAAAACATTTATCTATTTTGTCTCTCTATCTATTCTACAATTGATGTTTGAATAAGTTCTATTATTATATTGATAAAACTGCCCAGAAAATTATACAATTTGTACAGTCAAAAACGCGAAAGATTATGAAATTGAAGATATATGTCGAATGATCCATATGCGAAAACATTTATATTATTCAGAAAAGTTTTTATTACAGACAGATTATATTGTGAATTCTATGTGAAGTGAAGAGTAAGATTTATGCGGGATAAACAAATAGATAAAATAGAGACTATAAAATATAGGAATCGGATTAATCAAAGTGTCAGATTATCCTGATAAAAGAGAGATATGTCGCATCAATTCATAAATTAATATTTGTCTTATTTTCTCTACGTTCATAGAAGATTAAAATTCATTGAAAACTAATGTCAACATATCAATTTCATACATATTATTATAGTTTTATTAAGACTCGCGGTTTCTTCCATATTACATCGTTGACTAGAGACATTGATTAGGATAGATAACAATAAACAGAACGCATGATATTTCTCTTTCACAATATAGCCAAGAGTAATTTATCTTGAAAGCAGTTTCCTCGGCTCTCATTCAGCACATTCCGCAGCCCTAGCATTTATGCGACACTCGATCAGCCAATAGCAAAGCGGGAGATGCGCGTCGCAGGAGTCTCAATATTTCAGGATTATGGGAACCATACACTCAGAAAAATGATTTCCCTACATCGTAAAAATGAAAGATATTAATAATAGTTGCTCTAATGAAAAATTTTTTTAACATAAATCTTTTTATACGCAGTCAAAAATATGTATATGTTTCAACTATTATATTATATTTTGAGAGAAAAAAAATAGTAATATAGGTACATATTTAATTTAATATTCTCAAGAATTTCCAACCCACTAAATCATGAGAATAAAAGTTACATATTTTGCTAGATGAGAAATTGTAAAAGAATAAATAAAATAATTCAAATGGATAAAAATATCGTCACGTAATTGTCACGGTATAATCAACTATCTTTTTTTATGCGGATAGCAGAGCATTAATATTGAGCGGTCTCAATATACATATATATATATATATATATATATGCTGTATATAAATATATATAATAGTCTAAAGTTATCATTAAACTTTTAGATCAATAATAGAACTTTAACTCTCTTTTGTATATAATACATTTATACATTTATACATTCACTTGAATGCATATATTCATTTAAATATTATGAAAATAATTCTAACTGACAAACTGGAATAATTATATAATAATTGTATTAGCCTCCGTAAATAATTTCTCTCTCTTTCTCTCTCTTTCCCTTTCTTACCTTTATCTTATGTTATCTCTAGGAAGTATAAGAAAAAATAGAAGTTGAAGATAAGATCGATAGCGCGCACTGCATTGAGTGTTTCTAGTTAAAGATATACATAATATCTTCTAGCTCGCAACATCTTCTAGCTGCTTCTCAAAAATGTGAAAAAACTTCACATTTAGTTAAAATTTCAAACTAAGCCATTTAAACTCCATTTAAACTTGTGATTTGATAAATAAATTTAATGATAAAAAATAATAAAAAAGATGATATTTATAATAATATTAAATTTGGAAGTAGAAATAACATATTGTAGCTTTTAAGGAAGAAAAATCTGTTCGTTTAGTCTATTTACTGAAAAATTGCGAGCGAAAAAAATTTATTGCGCAACGTTGTGTCAATGATCGAACGGTAATGTAACATGAAAATTACCAGATATATATTCTGAGCTGACCTCGGAGCTGTTCTACGTCGTCTCCTCCTCGCGATCGCGTCGACGAAACAAACGGATGCAAATGCGTGCAGGTCGTGCCATGTGGCACCTGCCGCATATTCTGAACGAGCACGATCGTGTTGTCTTCCCGCACGACCTTGACACGCTTGAATCAGCGACGTCTTCAATCCTCAGACGGCCCATACATTCCTACTAGATCGCAACTTGATATCCAAAGGTCGCTCATTAACACTGGAACGATTAAAACATTATCAATGATAATTTATCATGAATATAATATCGTGTATCGCGCACTAATATTGCCAATTTTAAATTTTTTATTTATATTAGCAACTTTTTAAAATGCAAAATTAAGTCAAAGTTGAAATGTGTCTTTGAATTTAAAGAATTATAAATTTTGACATAAGAAGGTTTCATCAGCTGTTTTACTGTCAATCTATGTAATTGGTACATAATATTGTTGGTCGTACATAATGTAATTATCATAAAGATTGTAGATATGAGGCATATCTGTATATCTAGACACTTTTTATGTATCATAATTATGGATTAAAAAATCTACTTGATTCAGATAAAAAAAATTTTTTAAGAAACCATTAACGATTTCTCGCGTGCAAACGTTCCATTTGTGCTACGAGTCTCTCGATCATTATCATCTCTCGAAATACTCGCAAATAATATTTACTTGTCATAATCGCCTCGCGCAAATTATTAGATAGATACACAAATATATAACTTGTATTATTATATTCTTACTTTGGAAGTGTCGTCTTGTTTAGGGAGCAGTTTTAAAGCGCACAAACTATCTCGGATGCAGTTAATATGTATATAGGTATTCTCTATGCAATGTAAAATGCTGATGAGACGATTAGAAATTTCTTCTCTAGAGTTCCTTAACGTTCTAAATCAAATTCCTGTCGGAAGTGCACGAAGAGTTGAACCCTTTCGAGCGAAGCTTGGCAAATATTCTATCTACCTACGCACGTCTTATCGATCCTTTCGGCCACGCCAAGAGAAGATCGGTGTGACGTCGACTTGCAAACGAGCTAGTTTTCGTCCGTCCTTCGCGTTAATTTCGCTCTCTGCGCAGACACATGATACTCGCGTTTATTACTCCCCAAAGATCCATTACTATTTTAATTAATCCCTTTTGGAAGTAATGCAAGCCACTAAAAAATGAAATTAAGCACGATGTACTTTGGAAACTTCAAAGCATGTCTAAAATTTTGCCGCAGTTCTCGCTACACGTAATATAAATATGAACGAGAGAGAAAATTAATTAATGAATTTAAAATAAAATTTAGGATAACATTAAATTCTTGAAAGTCGCCAGTAGATAAAATAGAAGACGTAATTAAAATCGACCACACTGGCAATTTTATTGATGGTAAAAAATCACAACATTTCGACCATAGGTTTTGGTCCTTTTCGAGTGAAAGTAATTTAGTTAACTATTCTATCGTGAGATCGTTTTAGTCTTTCTCTGTGTGTTAATGGAGAGGTTGACATGATAATCTTGACGAAGTGATTTCCTTATTTCGCTGGTCGATTTTAATTACATCTTTTAAAATTTAGGATATATCCGGATAATCTATAATTATATTTTAATAACTGTAGAGATAAAAGTATTCTAAAGTCTTTTAATAAATTAATTGTCTTTTAATAATCTTCGTAGCATATATACACGTTTATATATCGACAGTATTTATCATTATATTTCCAAATAATTGTTATCTATTTTAATTAAAAACGGAAAACAGATATAAAAATATTATTTCCATTATTGTAAAAAATAATCAAGAAAACATTTCGATAATTTTTCGATAAAAATTTGACAAAAAAGAGGGTTTGTGAGAAAATTCCGTAAACTTCATTAATTTTTTATAAAAGATGAATGCTTTACCTTTAACAAGTAAATGTAGATATCCCAAAAACGTGCCAACATATGAGGCAATTTCGTGCATCCCGGAAATTGATAGGCATCCAATCTTCGAGCCGCCCGAATAAACAATTTGACGCGACAGGAAATGGAAGTACCTATCTTCCATTTATCGCCGTAAATGCTTTTAGCTCCGAAGAAGACGGAACTTTACATTTCTAGGAATGTCACAAATTGTAGCTAAAAAAGATAAAAAAGATACCGTCAAGCGTGTGAAAAAGTTTTTTATCCCGACAGAAAAAAAGGAAACAATGCTTTCGCATACATACTTGTCTCGCAATATATAAAAAAGGAATAGCTCTCGCCGTCAAGTTTGAAAAATAAAAGCGTCCCGCTGTGGTTGTAAACGATATCTCATGCGGAGGATTCATGCGGTCGCGTTGGCGTATCCTTTCTGGCAGATCCCTGTAAAAAATGATTACAAGTCGGTTGCGTTTACAGAGCACGTATTGATAACAAAAAACATACAACGTGACATTTTTGTTAACCACAAATAGCAATTTCGTAGATGGAAAAAATATACCTATATTACTTAATTTAAGATAATTAAAAAAAAGTACGATTAATAAGTTAGAGTGAGTGAAACTTTACTTGGGAGAACGAAGAGCAGTAGAAGCGGGGTAACTTGACATAACTACCCAGTCAACACCAAGTAACAGTTATATAACTGTTAGTTAATTTCCCACTCAACAATATAACTGTTACATGTTATATAACATTACGTATTAAATAACAATTACATTGTCGGGCGGGAAATTCTAACGAACAATATAACTGTTACTTGGTGTTCGCTGGGTAGATTCCTTCCCGTTTTCAACGCCAAGCATATCGGCGACGCGTTTCGCAGCCCAGTTTCGCGGGCCCGCCTCGCATGACGCAGTATATGTGTAACAACGTGGGTGGAGATCGCGGCAAGAGAAAGACGCCCGACAGGGAGGACGACGGCGAGGAGCGATGGAGCGACGAGGCGCGGAGCGAGGACCGAGGACGAGACGGACAAGGACGCGGCGAGAGTGCGGGTGCGCGTCTGCATGCGCCGCGGCGACGCGGCGACGCCGTAGTACCGCAACCCGCCACTCGCCGCCGCCTCGGCGCCACAGTCCCTCACTCCGCATGTCCGGAGCCGGCTGCGAGCCGTCCTCGGCACCTCCTGTCCGACAACGTTCGTCCACCTCTACTCGCCTCCTGCAAAATGGTAAGTCGAGGATCGCGGGGATCTCGTCCTGTTTCCTGTAAAAACGTCGCGGGGTATCTCGGGGGATATTCCCGGGATATTCGGATTTCGCTGAAAGTAGCCGTGAACGCGTTTGCTCTTGAAGATTTTCGCTCGTTTTTTCATCGAAGGAAATTTTCTCGTAGAGTCTGAAAAAAGCGTGGATTTTTTTTCGAAGTTAATTAGTCGAATTTTTCACATTTACGTTCGCGTGTCGCGGAAGGAGGTCGCATGACAGACATGCTGCAGCTGCAGTGCGTCGTCTGCTGCTGTCATCTGCTTTACTCGCGACTGGTTAGTCGCGTGTAACGGAAATCTCTTGGGTGAAAATGGAGAAAAGCTGGATGGGCTGTTAGCAGAGCTGAATCGTGAGTGGGACGACTGACACAAAGTGAAAATACCATTTCCGTTCCGATGCTTTATGCGACGTGATCTAATGACAGGAAAGACGAGAGGGATCGTGATTGGAGTGCGTTTCCAGTTACACAATTTACCGCGCGATCGCAGCACGTGACGGGAAAAATCTTTTACGAGCGATATCTTTAAATTTTTTAAAATATTATACGCACAATTTCTTTTCAAAATTATTTATATATCAATTTATATTTCACGTGTAGACATTGACTAATTTTCGCGAAGCGTTAGAATCTTATTTGTGTTATCTCTCACATATTGCAGTATATTGCAACATTTAATCCGTGTCAATATTTTGTTTTTGCTGTATTTATACTACATTTGTTTATGTGATCTATCGGTATAAAAATATATATGAAAATATTGCGACCAATAAAAAACAAATTTTGAAAAGTATTTTTTAAAAACTGTAACAAATTCATATATTAAATGTATTACAATTTTCCTATTTAAAATAATACTCTGCATCATATTTTTTATTAAAACATGACGTCTCTTGATTTTTTAATAACATTTAATTATTCTCGAATTATAATAGAAAAGAATTCAAAGCTGTATACGAAATTGTACACTTAGACATTTGTGATTTGGAACACACTTGCACTGCAGTGTATATTCAATCAACAGATCATTAACACGTACTGTCTTATGCGGATATTGATCACTTGGTGAAACATACATACATTCTCATGTTTGCGCGTGAATACTCACATCCGCAGTTATTAAAACCAGGAAATGGAACGATATGCCTTTCGCGCTCGAGTATTTGTAGAACGATCGAGAAGTGATTGTATCGATCTGTTTTTCTTTACCCACGAGAGTTAAAATTGCCGCTTTCGTGGAAAATGTTTCAAACTGACCAAGCAACACTGACATTACATAATTAACATAACTGACTATTCCTCGTAAAATTATTTACAAAATTAATTACAAAAATTAATTACAAAATTGATGCTGTATATTAAAATATAAATGACTTTTAATTTTTTTTATAAAGCGAGAGTCGCAAACTAAATGATATTCCCGAGATTATTTTTATATATATATTATATAAAACAAGATATTATATAAAGAAAGATATTTTTATATATATCTTCTTTTATATTATATATATTTATATATATATTTTTATATATTATTATATAAAAGATGTGTATATATTTTTTTCTTTTTTCTGTATAAAGTACCTTGGGAAATATCATGTTCGATTGTGTGGTACTTTCCTGTGTTACATAAGAAAGAAGGCACTAAAGTATAATACATAAATAAGACATTACGCATATATCCAGGTACTTGCGGACGCGACATTAGCGGACAATCACCGCCGTCATCGTACTTTCACGGCAAACGGTAATCCGGACGGTATCACGATATGCAATCTAGTGGATGGCGAGACCTTGACTTACAGCTTAGCCTTGATAAGAGGTCGAGCACCCGCGCTATGCAGCTACATTACTGTTCGGGGTTACAAAAATGTGACTTCGGAGTGGCCGATCGTCGCCGGACAATTCCGCGTCCTGGTGGATTTGGCACGTGGTCCAAACAAATTAGAACTCGAGGCAGGCGGACATAAAAGAAGATTGATGCTTGTATACGAGCCGAGAACCACCAGGCTACGGGTAACACCGGTCTATGTAATTTGTGCAGGTCACGATGGTTATTTTCAGGTATAACTGCAACAATAAATTATATCAAAAGTAGTTATTTCTTTTTTCTAAGAATATATATACATATAAGTTATTATTATTTTTAATAAATTATTTTGCATGATTTTTTGAAATTTTAGATTTGATTATATGATGTGCATTGTTCAATCGATCAATTGTTTTGCTAATTATATTTTAATCAGTATTATTAAAACTTCTCCATCGTATGCAAAAATGTTGTTTCGATTATTGATAATTGACATTTAAGAAAAATAATACAGGTAAATGATTGTGACTCATAACTTAGTTACTTGGAACGTAGCATGCATTTTTTCCAACTATCGATTATCGTTTTGCTACATGAATAGCTATAACTCACAGTAACTTTGCCTACGTGCTTTGCCGGCGCATTAATTCGATTCTCTCTATTTCTCTTTTTCTTTCTTCCTTTATTACTCAATTTTGTAAAATAATTATGATCTCGTTATTTATTAAAAATTATAGAATTTATAATCATAAATTACGAAACACAATCTGCGTTTTCAGGGTCCACGTAACGAGGATCGATCACCTGAGAGCGCGGCAACGAGGATAGGACTTGGTGCCAGGCTTCTTCAGACTTTGACAGCCGAAAAGCTCTTGGAAGCCGGTTACGGTAGAAAAACTTTCCAGCTAGAAAGAGATTTAGACGGTCCGGAATGCCTGGTAATGCATAGTATGCTTCACGTGGATCAGGCACGAGCAATGAAACAAAGAGAACTTTGGGAGTTAATCGCACGTGAGTTGATGACCGGTCCCTTGGCGTCCAAGGATCGCAAATATCTGGCGTTCCTATCGTGTACGAGATATCGTGGCGCACCTAGTCCTCGAACGCACGAGGATACTTTAGCGAGAACGCAAGGTCATGCAGCTCTTGGTGGAGGTGGTTTAGCGCTCTTCGGTTCGGCATGTCTTCATACTTGGCCTACGCGTATGGCTCAGGTTGGTTGACATTCTGTAAATAAAAATAATTCCAGTGTGAGAAGAGGAAATTGTTTCTTATTTCAAATAAAATATTGTCGAAAGAATGACATTTTTAAAAAAGACATATTATGTATTATATACAGATATTACCGAGGTTTCTGGACGCCACTATCATCGATACCGAGCAACTCATGGACGACAGCAATTATCGTGGTACGCACGGGGGCTGCTTGGCGACGACATTAGGTTCCGTTCTACACGAGCTTGGTCACACTTTTGATCTCGGTCATACTCGAGAGGGAATAATGGGTCGAGGATTCGACTACGTTGATAGAGTTTTCGTAGGTGCGGCTGGAATTGACTTCAATCGTAATCCCATCAGAAGGGATCCTCAACACACGACTGTCGCTCTTAGTAGACCTCTCAGCGTTACGGTAACCGTGCAAGAATCTATATTATCAAGTCCGCGAAGAGGTAGATTGCTTTCCGAGACATCTAGACCTACGCCGTCGCCTACTTCGAGGCAGTTGTCTGGAAGACTTTCAGCACCGGCTAGTCCCGAGCTTAACAGATCTCTCTCTAAAAGTTTGATCACTTCGGAGCCTCTAACACAGCCTGATCGAACATTCTGGGGTCCATCATGCGCGGCATTACTTTCGTATCATCGCTGGTTTAACAGCGAAATGGACAATATTTCCAATAGACATCATCATGAAATAGAATACGACGGAAAAAGGTAAGTTTGCTATTCAAAATAGCAAGTTATTTTCTCAAAATAAATGATTAAAATTTTCAAGTTTTTTATTCATATCTAATCTCTTCTTAAACTATTTATAAATAATTAAGTATTTATTATTAATTTAATTAATTTATACTATTGATTTATATATATTTATATATATTAATATCATTATTTGAGTTATTTATGGTCAAATAAGCATGATATTATCTTTAATGATTATGATTTTTCTATTCAGGAACGTAGTGAGATCACGATATGGAATACGAGTAATAGAACTTAGAGAGAGTTCGGGAGGGATGGTTGTGAGTTCTCGTCAATTTCCTGGCTCGCGACCACCTTTGGAGGCTTTAGTTCCATCACCTCCACCCTACTGCCTCACCACTCTTACCCTAGTTGCCGAAGATTCCACCGGGAATGTGCTCAAACATCCTCTTCCTACTGCCTTTTAAAGGTCAGCAGAAACAATGATGCGTAATTTTACCTTCTAGTCTCCGGCGAGGATCATTACACACAGTCCATAAGCAATATCGGCTTAATATATACTGTAAATTATTCAATGACATTTTTGTTCCTTCTTTAGTTTATATAAAAATTTATATTAGGAGCATTTTAATTAAAGATATATAGAAACAAATCTTTTCTCTGTTCTGATATCCCTTACACATTAATTATATATATTTGATGATAAATCTACATAGACAGAGAAAGAGAGAGAGGAAGCGAGAGGGAGAAAGAAAACAAGAGAGAGAGAGAGAGAGAGAGAGCGCGCGCAAGAGAAAGAAATCGGCATAGATTGATATAGATAAATTGAGATATTTTTAGATATGTCTGTATTATAATACACATAATACTGAATTAGAATAAAAATTTTAAAAATGATATTTATAGAGATGATAAATTTTTTTTTAAATTATTGTGAGTTTTTTTTTATTCTGTGAACATATTAATTTTTTATTCTATAAACATATATATAATAATATGTCAAAATAAATTTCTATTTATAAATAAACGTATAAAATTCATATAAAAATTGTCCAAAAAAGGCCTCAGCAGCATTATACACGGTTTTCATTTGAGATCGTTAATCAAAGTATACTTATACTGTCATTATATATTTTTAGCTTTTAAAATTGCAAATACTTCAGCTAAAAGACATAAGACAATTTCTACATGAGATTTGAAAAAGTTTTTCCATATTATATAATTTATTTTTATATGATTTACATACATGTACGATTATATAATTAAAAAATTTTTCCGTTGCTCTGTATGTATATGACTGGTATGTATAGGTGATATGAATTTTATAATAACGTATTTTGCATAGCTAAATAAATATTTCCTAACCATATGACATATACATTCTGCTCATATATAATATTTATTGCCGAATATATATAGGTGAAGGGAATTACTTTATAATAATTAATTTTGTAAAGATGATTTCCAATGTGTGCGTTTCACGAGCTTTATTAGTTTTAAAAATTAATTCACGACGCTGGTAATGATTGCATAAATGCTTTGATAAATATATTGAGTAATACATTTATAAAAGATATGGAAAAGCTTGTGTGTGTATGTGTGTAACCACATTGCAGAAGATTTCATAGAATATATATGCAATTATATATACTTATATGAATAGGATAGAAAAAGATGAGTGATATAAGTTACTAACAAAACTGCACTAATAATAAGATAAAACAATACATGTATACTATTATAAATATATGTACAGTATCTTAAATTATTATAATAAATTAGGATATAGATGAATCAAAAATTAAAAGACAATATTATACTATTGACTTTGCAAACTAGCGAAAAGAATCCATGTATTTTAAACTAGAAATATAAAATTAGTCAAAAACATGAAAATTATTTAATCAATTTTCCCTCAATGTTGTTATAATTTATTATAATTTATGATAGTGAATGACTTATTTTCATATATTATTTTCATTATACCTCATTATACAGCATATACAATATATAAAGACATGGGAAAAAGTAATTAAAAATTTAGAAAAAAGAAAACAAAGACCACAATACAATATTTTACACGATAATTATATTTAAGACATAATAATTTGTACGAAATTAAAAAATTAAGTATTTTTAAAATTTATAAAGTTATTTGAAAGGATATTTTGTATTGCAGGAATATATTATTTATATCTTTTTTAATAATATACAAATCATAAAAATTTGTATAACTATACGATAATAACATATGGAAAAAATTATCATCACGTAAAATAATGTCACGATATATATTATATTCATATTGCATATGTGAAAAATATCTCTTTTCACGAAATAAATATTCTGTCAGATAAGAGTAATATTCAACACATTTCCTTAAACGTGTCATATATCACAAAACTTTTTTAAACTAATGACAACAATATATAGGGTGTTTTTTAGAAAGCGACAGAAAACACAGTGAATCATTTCATCCTTATTTACATTCAGCAATGAACAAGGATAAAGTGTTACACTTGCTCTCTGTGTCACTTGCTGAAAAACATCCATATATATATATAGCATATTTCGTTTTATTTCACAGTAGATAAGTCAAATGCGTACATTTTGAGATTATAGAAAATGTCGTCCGATCCAATCATCCAGAAAGAAACCGATACTGCAATAAAATTTGATAACGTAGTGCAATTTCCTGAAATCATCGATGATAAGATAAACACGGAAGAATTTTTACAAGCCGCTCGTGATGTCGTGCGAACAGTCGGTATGTGTCAAGTTTTAACTTTAACCTCAAATTATCAAGATCAATCATTACTGAACGAAAAATTTTGCTTTAACATGACATGATACGCGAGCACTAGAAACAAATCCGTGTTTCAGATAAATTAGGCAAATTGTTTTCTCCTGTACGATATGACATGCAAGGCAATATCGATGTAAGTGTAAACATTGATGTAAGGAACCTTCTAAACCGCTTTGTAGATCTTTTAAAAAATATAATCTTTCAATTACAGAAACTTACAACCAGATATTCTATGGATAAAGAGAGCAACTCGACTCTCCAAGACATGATTTTGCTTGAAAGATCTACTGAGAACAAAAAAAATCTTATTGCAGTTGATGCTTTAATGTGGTTGAGAAGGTATTTAAAGATATGTCTGCACAAATTCTTTAAATATGCATATCTATGCATATTTATGTAAAATTTCTATTCAGTTATTAAATATTTCTAGGGCCTTACACATGATTTTACTATTCTTCGAAAGGATTGTAGAGGATCATAAGGCTGGAAAAGCAACAGAAGATTTAGTTGCATTTTTAAAAGAGGCGTACAAAGAAACCCTAGAACCATATCATGGTTGGATGGCACAACAATTATTTAATGTAAGAGAATAAATTTTCCTACATATTAATTATTATTTAAACTATATATTTATTTAAAATATCAAAATACTAAGAATAAATAAAAAGATATTATAACATCATGTCTTAATATTGAAAATATTACAGCTCTTATCACGTATGGCACCTACTCGTTCGCAACTCTTATTGGCTTTAGCAGATGGACAATTGGGTAAAGAAGAAATTACTTTACACAATATGGAGTTATCCTTAATAAATTTAAAGAAAAATGTATTAGCTTTAAAGAGGTTTTATAATGACCAGAATTTAGAAGTGACTAGAGTAGCAACACTATAGGTTTAGCATTATCATAACATTTAATGTTATCTCTTTATCCCATTGAAAAGTTTAGAAAAAAATTAGCAAATTAAAAAAATTAAAACGAAGCTAAGAGAAAAATTTCACGTGTAAGATCTATTATGCATGACATTATAAATTCACACAAAATGTATTAATATATTACTTAAATATCTACAAGTTGTATCAAAATACAAAAATGGTTTGACTCAAATCTAACATTTAAATATCACATTGCATTAAATATTATGATATTAATGTAGCAATATTATAACATAGTGAAATCTCAGGAGCAATAAAGTCAATACACATTAATGTACTCTATATTATCAATTCCATATAATTGTGCAATGTAAAATCTTTTAGCATGATGATTTGCCAACTGTTTTAAAGCTATCGTAGCTGTTATAATTTCAATAACAAGCAACAGACTCATGACACCATTAGCAATTGTTTCGCTAAAATGAGGTATAGTTTTATTATCAAAAAGGAGGAACATTTCTAAAGGGAAATGTATAAGAGTGGATATTAGCCAAAAACTTGCCAGTTCTGGTATCTGTATAAAAGTAATATTTTTAACATTTATTTGTCTCCAAAATTTATCTATCTCATTGAAATACATTACCTTCTCAGCTAAGTTTCCAAGATATCCCAAATATAGTCGTAAACTTTCCAATGTTGATATAACAACAAATACTGCTATAGTTATAATTTTGTATACATCTGTCAAGTAATAATACTGTAAAATAAAAAATAATTTAACTATTTGTATTACTATTTTTATTACTAATTTAAAAAAAATTTATATTTTATTGTATTTACTTTAGCATCCAAGTTAACAATTATTACAACAAACCACAATGGAAATATCCCTACATTAAAGTATAATGCCATTTGGAGTGGTAAATTGGATTGTATTTGATTTCCTGCAAAAAAACAAACAATGAATTACAAGAATCATTTCAAATTAGATTGTTAAATTAATAAAATGATTTTTTAAATTAATAAAATTTAATTATTAAGTTTTTATATATATATATAACATTAAATAATTAAAATATTCAATAATTAATTGTAACAAATGGAAAAAAATTTATCAATTAATATTAAATATTTCGTTGCATCTTGAATCTTTTATAATTGTCAAAATTATCGAATAAACATGTTAATTATAGCAATCGATTAATGGATCGATTTCAAATGTTTACTATTATCGTTTGCCATGGCAACTGTTTCCATCGTTGTCGACGATAGAAGCGAAATGCGTACCTACATCATAAAATTCCTTTTTTCGATCATAATAAGCTAAACCGGGAAATATACGATCCGATGCGGTGACAATTGATGTCCTCCACATCCACATTGCTTATAATGAAATTCTCACGTTTCGGATACAAGTGTAAAATTCAATTGTACATAATTTGAAGCAGAATTTGTATTTCAATTTGCACACAGAATCTAATCGCAACGATGAACACTAACAACCAGTGTCGCCAATATTGCAACTTTAAATCTGTAGCCCTCTGGCGAATAATCGCATATAATGAAAAATTTGGATTTCCTTCTAATTATTTTTTCAATCTTTACAGTATTTATCTTTCAAAATCACAAATTTAACATTTTTATTAATTAGCATATATTTTTTTCAGAATATTAAACAAAGCAGTAGAGAAATTTTAATGTCAAATATATAATCAAGTCATATATTGTTACTGTTAATTAAAAATCAATACTATTAGATACTATTTATATAATCTTTATATATTATTTTCAGTTAAATTCAATTTTAAATAAGTATTTTATATAAAATATACATATATATATATATATTGTTTGTTAATTGAAAAATCCAAATATAGTTCACAAGTCTTTCATGTACAGGTACGCATTGTGATTTATAACTTGTAAAAATTGAAGTCAACAAATACATACGTAACATTGCTTTATTTACAAGTTTTAAACATCTCTCGAAATGTAAGAATCGTAAAAAAAAGATATCGCAGAAAAATCGTATAACAATGGGTCAGTTCAAAATTATAGTTGTAATTAGACATTTATATGCACAGTAATCAATCACATACTTCATCTTGTATATTTATGCTACGATCACTTCTTTCCAGATTTCTTTATACCACCAGTTACTAAAGGACCTTTTTGACTGGCTTTTTTCGCTGCCTCAGCTAATGCCTTTTGTTGTTCCTTTTGCTTTTGCTTAAATGCTACGTCCTCCTCGTCTAAAACTTTTGAGTCTTTCTTTGGTGCCTTCAATGGCTTTTTCTTACCTCCTTCTCGACCAGACATTCTAAAGCATAAATGGTCATTTATTATAATTAATTAATTATTAATTGGAAAAATTACATAGTTTTAATAATATTAAATCAAATCAATATAACCTCCAATGAAACACAGTCAGAGAAATGGTAAATAATTTTAAATAATTATTTAAATAATATGTAATAGACATTTAAACAAATTGTTCGTTTAATTAATATTAAACGAACAATTTGTATATACAAATAGATAGGAAATGTCTCTTGAAAAGCATACATATAACATATTTACCAAATCAGGAATAACGTTTTATGCTGTTTTACAAATACAATTTTTAAAAACATCTTGAAAATCAATATTTAAATCCTAGACTTACTTGCGACAGTATTAAATTTCCAACTGGGATTAAGATATAAACTGTACGTTTAAAAAATTCGAAAAAATTAATGTTTATGCGTAAATTTCTAGATTCGATCATACGAATTGTGCTGCCACAAGTTGTGAAATCTAAAGACTTGGATGTGTAACATATTTTTTCTCCTTTTTTGCCTTATATAGATTTGTTGAAAATGTATATAAAGGACGATAATGTTTTCGATTATGACAGATAATATAATAAGATCGAACGAATATGATAAATGTGTATATTTGCAGTTTTTATCAACAGACTTTATCTAGAATTTCAAGTCTGAGAATTCAATAAATTATTGTCCATAGCGGAAAATATGCATATAAATTACTCAATAGCCATTTTAAATAACTAATATTGTATTCAATTAAAGCAGTTTGAATGAGTTTATTTTTTTTATCAATATTCGGCTCGAAAATTCTAAAGAGCTGGACATAAGATGGCGCATCACAGGTCTAGTTTCCACCGAAGCGTTAATTCGCATCTAGTGCGGCGTAGATCAAATTTAAGTCGATGGAAACGCGATTAAGGTCCGGTTCCACAACTCGAGTTAATCCGAGTTTAATACGTTAAACTGGGTCCTGATTGGTCCATTCGCTACTTAAACTCGGATTAACTGGATTGTGGAACTGGGTCTTAGGCCGGGTCTACAATAGACAATTTAAGACCTAAGTCTTAAGAAATTGACCAATCATAGTCAAGTATGAAGAGAATACTCGACTGTAATTGGTCAATTTCTTAAGGCTTAGGGCTTAAATTATCTATTGTAGATCCGGCCTTAATCCGAGTTTAAGTAGTGAATGGACCAATCAGGACCCAGTTTAACGTATTAAACTCGGATTAACTCGAGTTGTGGAACCGGGCCTTAGAGATTAGATACTGCATTACATTCAACAAAAGTTAAGGCTGCACTGAAATTTAATCTTCCTCACTTCTATTCTACTTTCGATGGAAACAATGGGTCTGTTCGTTTTAGCTGCACTGCTGCACTAGTGCAATAAGTTAGAAAGAGACAAACGTACTTTCTTTCACTCTAACTAATTGCACTAGTGCAGCAGTGCAGCTAAAACGAACAGACCCAATATGTTAAATCCAACTAGACCACAGTGAGTATTTATAGAAATCAATTTTTTTCATGCATTCGTTCGTTTTGTCCAACAATTCAAATGTTGGTAGCATCGATTTAGTTACTTGGACAAATATAATTTCACTAGTTTCAAAGTTTCTTCCCATAATTTTTTCAACAATTGCAATAAAACAGAATTTTTATGTTCTTTTTACATTTTTCAGGGAATAATAAATACAAAATTAAAAGAAAACAAAATTTTAAATTCCTAAAAGAGGAAGTATACATGGCCTCGACATGGCTTTCCTCTTATCTCTAAAATAAGATGGTGGAGAGAAAAGATACTCGAATAATTTAACTAATCTCTATCGTCGTTGACTAGTTGCTTTGCTTCTCGATTGAGTACATCATTTTACGTAATTATACGTTTTTTTTATATATATAAGATTGTACCGTTGTTATTCGCGTATCGTAATGCCACCTAAATTGGAATTAATTGCCGCAGCATGCGAAAATATGGGTATCGGAATAAATGGTGGTTTACCTTGGCGTTTGAAGTAAGATCTTTGATGAATTGCTTACTCAAGTGAACGCAATTGTCACTGAGAATCAGAACATTTATCTATGAATGAACTTGAATTTATACAGGACTGAAATGGCATTCTTTACACGCATGACAACCGATACAAAGGATAAAGATAAAAAGAATATCGTACTTATGGGACGGCGTACATGGGACTGTATACCTGAAAAATACAAACCTTTAGAGAACCGTATAAATATGGTGTTAACATCACAATCATTGTAATTATGGAAATAATCGGTGAGATAAGAAATCTTTTTTTTTTAGAAAGAAATTAATTGTATCAATTTTAGGAATTATGGAGATAAAGCAATAATATGTAAAAGTATACCACATGCTATTGAAGTGATTGCGGAGATGCAAAATCAAGTAGAAAGAGTATGGGTAATAGGAGGAAGTAGAGTGTACAAGGTATTTTGCATAAAATGTGTACAAAAAAATATATATAGATTAATATCACAAATGTGTAAAATTTTTGAGATATAATTTCTTTTTTTTTACTCTCACATTTTCTGTACTCAAAATGAAATGTATATATGAAAAGAATGAAAAGTACATATTCATAATTCAGAAAAGAAAAAAGCAAAAAATATAGCTAACAAGATTTAATAACATGAAGACATAAATATTGATAATTTAAACTTAAATTAGATAACACTTGCATTTCCATTGCACAGGATGTCATGGGATCCCCATATTTTGGACGATTATATTTGACACGTATAAAGAAAGAATTTAAATGTGATACATTCTTTCCCCCTATTCCAAGTGGCTTTGTACTGATAAAGTAAACATTAATATTTTTCTATATTGCGTTTGTTATTTTATATCAATGATGCTCTGCTTTATAATGTCTATAAAATTCCAGAGATCCAACTGTACCACAACATATCCAAGAAGAAAAAGGAATAAAATTTATATATGAAGTATATGAAAAAAAATAATTACCAGATATTTCAATATCTTAATTATTGAAACAATTTACAACAGAGACACTATTTTTATAAAGTATTTTTTTTGCTATGTACCTATGGTATGTAATAAAAACATGAGACATTGTGACAAACACATTAATATTATTAATCATTCATGTAATTATAATATACAAACACAATATTGTTAATTGTTATGCTATATTTTTTTTTAACAATATTTTTCAAGCATACATTTTAAACAAATTTAGGATAGAAAAATTTGACAAAACCCATACCTTTGCTACTAATTTTACACCACCTTATGTTTCATAATAAAAGTTGTGTCTGTATATTTAACACACGACCATATTAGCCAGGTGGCCATTGCAATTGTCGACCGCCAAGAACATGCAAATGCAAATGATACACAGATTGTGCACCATGTTTTCCATCATTGATAACCAGGCGAAATCCATTTGTTAAGCCTTTCTCCTTTGCAACTTTATGAGCAATATTCATCAAGTGGCCAAGTAAAGGTTCGTCTTCATCTTGAGCTTTGGAAAGTTGCGGAATTGGTTTCCGCGGAATCACCAAAAAGTGTACAGGTGCTTGAGGATTTACATCATTAAATGCAACACACTGTAAAATATATTTAAGTTATATTTTTTTTATATATTAATGTTTTATTCATATATGTAAAAATATCTTACTTAATCAAAGCTTATTTCTATTTACAAATTCTTTTCTCTCTAAGAACGAAAATTGTAAGTATATTAGGTAGATATATTAAGTTATTTCTAATAATGAGGAATATTTATATACAATTTTCTATATTAATATTAATATGCAATTCCTTTGAGGTTAGAGATAATTGAAGTCAACATGTTTACTATAACAACTCAGCAAAAAATATGATTATATAAATGTGGTTGTTATTGCAAGTATATTATTGGCAATAACAGCAAATTTAAATAATGTGCAACATAGTAACAATTACTCTCAGATGAGAGGCTAAAGAGAAGATGTAGCTTTTAAAATATTTTTCAATATTCAGAAATATCTACAAATTTACATTACTAGTGCGCTATATTTTCTATATTATAATCCCTATTCTATATTATAATCGCATAAGAATTATACATAAAATATATAATAATCAATAATGTATTGAAAGCAACTATACAAAGCCGGTTAAGCAATTTATATTAAAAATTCAACAAAACGATCTATAATTTTCGAGATTTTTATGTGACAACATAATTTACCTGGTCATCTTCGTAAATAAAGTTGCATGGGATCTCCTTACGTAATATTTTTCCAAATATTGTATCACTTTCTGGCACAGCTGATTGTGCCTTCTCCACCTCGGTCGCCATTTTTCTCCAACTGACGGAACAGTTAGGTCGATTAGCACCGAGGTAACCTAAATGTCTGTACGCACTTATGGCAAAGGTCGATAATAACTTCATGTCGAGATGCAACAACGTTGTCGCAGACGCATAATTAATAATACGTGAGTGTATTATCAATATCACTTATTATGTGTCCCACTATCTTATTATATTTTTGTTCGTTCTATTACGTTTCTTTACGATTTAAAGGTTGCTCTTCACAAAGTACAAAGACGCTTTTGCTTTTGCAAGGATGAAATGATTCTACAAGCGTTGGAAACTTCAAGTAGAACATGTTTAAAACGCGCGAATTTTAAATTACGTTTGAAAAATTATTTGAAATTTAAAAACCGATGCTTTGTTACTTTTCATTAAATTCAAATGTTTATTTTTTTATAACAATTTTAATTGTATAAAAATTTAAGAGAATTGTTAAATCTTTAAAGAAAGTATGCTATTATGGAATTTTCACAGATTCCTACATATAAAACTATAAAACTTTTATTTTATCATACAGTCTTCTTAACAATGCACTTATGAATCTATATTTCATATCTTAATACGCAATAATGCACGTTTCATTAAATGAACTGCAGCCTTACTCTGTAATTTCTAACGCTTGCATTATATATCATTGCGCAGGATTTTCATATAAAATAACGCACATATACGCAACATATGTAACACAAGCATTAAAAGTTACAGAATAGAAGCCCTGATATATAAATATTGTCACTTATTGCTTTATACATGTCATTGATATTATACATTAAAAAATAATATGATATGAATGATTGTATAATGGCTCATGGTACATACAAGATATGGCAGTGCGCTTTCTGGTTTTCTCTGAAAGATTCTACATCTTTCACATATTTCTAATGGGTAAAAATCCCAGTCTTAGAAAAAAAAATAATTCTACTCAAAAAATATACATGTACATATTTGTTACCTCAATTTTATGTTGAACTAAAATTAAATTAGATATTCGCAGCACACATACATTCGTTTTCACACTCTTAGTAGAATTTGTTGTAATTATACGCATTTTACATAATTAATTAATGTCATACACATACAAATACAACTAAGCTGTTAAACACAATAACGTGAAATAAAAGAAGTTAATGGAAAGTATAATTCTTAACATCGTTATAAAAAGTGTCATTGACTGAAATATTAAGACATCATTATGTGTAAATAAATAACATATCAAAAATAATAATAATTGTCTGATTTTCGTATTGTATATTAAGGTACACCTATATCGAAATCCTTTAAATTAACTTAAATCCTGTTTTGTAAAATTATTATATGTGTTACGCTTATTCTTAATAACTTAACTACAGGGGCCAAATGTATAAAAATAAACTATAGAGGGTACATGGTGACTACTATCGACTATTTAATACAATAGAAAAGCTAATTTTAATTATTAATTGAAGTTTGATAGTATTGTAATGCACAAGTATGATTCTTATATATAATACTCATATTAGATATTTAATAATCAACCTATTATTAATAATCTTATAAACTGTTATAGTGTGATTACGTATGTTAGAAATATTTCTATTCCTGAATACAGTTATATCAGTCTGAGTTTACTAATAAATCTAGATAACTTACAAAACAGTCATTGTACGTCTTCTTCAGTAATATATCGGTGTCTTACTGCTTGAGCTGCGGTTATACGACTATGAGGATCAAACATGAGCATACTTCTTATTAAGTCTAGTCCATGTTCATTGAGATCTGGTATTATTGCACCAAGAGGTTTGGGTTGTCTGTATGGGAAAGCTGTCCAACTGAGTGATACATTCTCTGGCCATGCTTGTTGCGACGGAGTACCTAAAACTCTAGTATGGGAAAGAAAAAGACATGACGTAGAAAAATTGCAAAAAGAGAATTTTCTAAAAAAGGGAGAACAACTGCAGAATTGCATTAACTTACTGGAAAATCCTATCGAGTTGATCACCTTCACTAGTACCTGGGAATAATGGTTCCAATTTGCAAAGTTCTGCCAATATACATCCAACAGACCAGACATCTACAGGAGTAGCATAGGAACATCCTAAAAGTACTTCAGGTGCTCGATACCATTGAGTCACAACCTATAACAACATTACAAAGCTTTATCAATGCCAATGTCAAACAATGTTGTATAAGAGGGAGAAATATATCACATAATTGATTTGCATTTTGAGGTCCAAAACAAAAACATGAATTGTTTTAATATTGATATATATACTTTTACTTACAGATTTAATATTAAACATTAATAAATTATGAAAAATGGAATCATAAATGAATTAATAAATATATATAAATGAAAAAATAACAGAGTAACGATATTTTTATATTTTTTGATCAATTTTAAATCGTTTTATATCGTTGTGCTGACAAAAATTGTGATAAATAATAGTATAATTATTTTATTATAAATAATATGTAACAAAATTATCGTAAAATATTAAATCGAGATATTTATGGTAAAAACGAAAACGTAATTTATAATACATATATTGTATATGATACTTTGTTATTAACATACCACGGAAGTTAATCTCATCTCAAAATCGTAGGTTTTGGCTAAACCAAAATCCGCGATTTTGATTCTTCTCTCCCGCGTTACCAAGAGATTTTGCGGTTTCAAGTCTCTGTGTATTATTCTATGGCTATGTAGGAACTCCACTCCACACAATATTTCTCTTGACATTTGCCTCACGATATTTGATGGGATTCTCGATTGCGGAGAGCTATCTCGATAATTGGCTATGTAGGAAGCGAGATCTCTTTCCACGTGTTCGAACACCAACCAGAGGGTGAGACCACGATCTAGTCTCTCGGATTGTTCACCATCACCCGATGGTAGGTGAAGATAATCTCCTTGACAGACATCAAGTAATCTGACCTAGAAAATAAAGGAGATCAAATACAAGTCTTTAATAGAACAACTTTAGAGCAAAATATATTTGTTTAAGTAAGACATCTTTATATTGCGAGAGATTATTGTAATTAATATCATATTAAACTCACAATATTTGGATGTTCATATCGTTCGAGTGATTTCAAGGCAGCAATCTCCCTTAATGTGGACATGGGTAAACCATCATCTGTCAAGGGTACCCGAACTTTCTTAAGCGCTACAATTTGACCACTGGACTTGTCCTTCGCCTTGTACACCGTACCGTATGCACCGTTTCCGATGAGTGACAAATCTTCGTAGGAAGCATGTTCGCGCAGAGTAAAGCTCTGTACAGTTGTCTCGGATTTTGCTCTGGAAAGCTCATGTTCGCTCTGTTCGCTGTACTTCATTACAATGGATTTCAGCGTACCAAGCTGTCCCTCTTTCGAAGTACCCGGGATCGCTTCGGTCGAGGTCGTCGCGATGTCTTCTTTTCGCTCGGAGGTCTTTGGATCCTTTTGCTCGGTCGTCGATTTCGTTTCATCGGTCGACACCCTTCGCTCGGACGTTCCCGCTTGTTTCGCGACGCCCGACAGCTGCTTTTCCTCCTCCTCGGCTTCCTCGACGAGCACAACTTCCGCCTGCAAAGATACCTCACTCGTGGACGGTGTCTCGGTACTTTCTACCTCTGTCAAGTGCTCGGCGGACGGTTTGTCGAATGACTTCTCCTCAGATTGTTTGGATTTTTTTGGAGCCGTTGGCGTCGATAGATCTGGTTCGAGCTCTGTGCTCGAACGTCGTGATCTACCAGCCATCACAACATCTCGACTTCTACCTGAAATAATAATAAATTTTCTTATCAGTAATAGAAGTAATCAAACTGGAGAACATATAAATAGTTTCTTTATTTGTTTTACTAATGAAATTATTTTTGATATAAAGCAGAAGTTTTCATTAATTTAATAAGTCTAGGAAATTGTAAGAATTAATATATTAAAGAGGTAAATAAACGTATATATAAATATTTTCAAAATTATATTTATGAGGCTGAAAGAAGCAATGTAAATAAACTTAAACTTAAGTACCACTTTTTCTTTTCTCAATATGATATATACTTTTTTTAGGGGTATTTTTTAAGAATAACAAATTCAAGAGACTTTAATGATTCTTCACAATTTTTTTCTAAATGTATCCCAGCAAACGCCAAGTAACAGTTATATAATTGTTAGTTATAATTCCAATTTCAACAATATAATTGTTATTTAACATGTAACAGTTATATTGTCGAGTAGAAAATTATAACAGTTATATAACTGTTACTTGATGTTACATAACAGTTGTACAACCATAACATTGTCTCTTAAAAAATTTCAATTCAGCCAAGAGTGATTTGACCCCAATCGTCATATTTTATTAATGAATCTTTATAGGAGCTTAATTTTTTAATTTCTTTTCCAGCAGAGGACAAATAAAACAATCTATAGATTTTTCTATTCTTTTTTATATTTCTTCAATACATATGTGTATTGAAAATAAATAAATGTGAAACTCTTGCCCGAATCTCTACTCAGTATCCGATAGATAGAGCTATATCCGATTATAGATTCATATCGAGATCTGTGGGAGGAGATGCACGGGATGTCTCGGGATCTCGTATACGTGTGTTTCGCGTGTACGTATCATGTGATGCATGTGTGTTTGTACAGCGACACTTGCGACACCCGCGCGGGGTTCGCGGGCATAAGGCAAATAAGTACGGCTCTCCCTCTCACCCCTCTCCCCTCCTCCCCTTCTCATTCTCGCCGTCAACGTTTTATTAAAATTTCGAGACGGTACCGCAAGCGACGCGCGATCGCGGCCGGGCCGTCTGCTACGCGACATCTGCACCGACACCTGCGTTCGTATAATAGCCCGCTCATGCCGGCTTTCCAGAACATCTTGTAAATGCAAGAGGGAAGCCCCATAAACCCCCTCCCTTTATTTTCTGCGCTCGGATCGAGCGATAATCGTCGGTCGCTCGCGTTTCACCGGAAGCGCGATCGATGAATAGGTATGTAGATTCGGGGATTACGAATTATGAATTATCATCAGTCGTGACTCGAAACGAGGAAGCAGAGAGACGTTTTACGACATCCGTTATATGAAAACTGTAACGATGCGTCGAGAGAGAAAAAAGGAGGTCGCGGAGATACATCTCTTCTCGTTGCACGGAGAGATACCGAGTTATATGCGCTATGCGATAGGGGAGATCCGTGGCATATAATTCAAACGGTTTTAAATTCGGCCGGATGCCGAAAAAGATACCCGCGACTTTACATCCAGAGGAAATAATAAACCACGGGCTGTTATCACTTCGTAATTCACTCTCTCTGTTTCTTACTCAGTTAACATATGTGGTCGTTATTAAATACTGATTGCGAGAAAAATCCTCAAGTTTCAGATAATCCAATATCATTCATTGGTTTGATTCATTGATACATTCCTTTACATTTCGTGAGAAATTTGAATTTTTCACGTACGTAATCACTATCATTTGTTTAATCAAATGATAGTGTCATTAAAGCGCATTTTTTACATATCATATATTAATAAATATAATATATATGTTATATAAATATAATATCAAATAATTTATACTAGTAGATTTTTATAAACGAACGCTCCGCAGACGGATGTACTCTCGTGATTTTGATTAAATTTCTCTATCAATTTCCTCTTGCGATAAGAAATTATTAACTAGAAAACTGGAACGGAAGGAAGAAAAAAAGAAAGAAAAGGAGCAAGAAAATGAAGGAAGGACAAAGTTTTTTTTACATTGTAACGATTATTTTCTAGACATTTTTAATGTCGAATTATAAAAAGGAAGCATTTTGGACATAAATTTGGAGAAAATCTCCGATCAAGATCGGTCGATCGCGAAGTGAGAGGGACGAAGGGAAAATATATGGACGAGCGCATGTTTTACGAAACTGGAAAAAACATGTCTTTGCTCTCTAGAAAGAAACCAGCAACTTTGTATGTACAGAACGCGTTTCCACGCGGCATTATCTCAAGACCACCTTCCTGGAAGAGGCAGATGTTTCTATGGTTTCGTTGGATGTCGAGAAAGAGAAGCGAAGACAACGAAGTGCAACGTAGGAATTTTTTTTTCTTTCCGTGAGACACAAAAATGGAAGAATGTACTTTGTGTATCCTTAATTGCCTCGTATTTACTTCCATTAGCGAGCGCAATAACGTCTGATAATATAACATGCATTTGCAAGTAACTTCGTAATACGTTATTAAAAAATATAAAGAAGACACATTGCAAATTATTCTATCAATTTCTATTAATATTTCATTAACAAAAAAAAATATTTCATTAACAAAAAAATAATAAATAATTCAAATTATAAATAAATATATTTGTTTCTCTAAAACTATGAAAAAATATATTTGACAATTTATAGCTAATGTTTTGTCGCATTTTCAATCTTATTTTATAACACGCGATTTTATCTGTCAAAATGTTTCGACGCGTGGCTTTTGATAAGCCAATTAAATTCTCGTTTTTTAAAATATGAAATTTATGTTGCAAAATACTACGAAAGACTGCAGTTTTCTTTCATCATCTTCAACGTCTGAAAGAAGGACAATAGACGTTTCTCCTTTTCGAGAGACCTTCGTTTTATTATCCAGTCTTTTTTTCTGTTCCGTTGTCGTTGCAAGAGAGACTTAAGAAGAGATACGATGTTCTTCTACATTGTTATAGGACCATATAAAAAGCATGAGAACGTGGCTCAAGAAGTTGACATAGCAGATAAACGGTCAGAATGCGCGCCACAGAAAGACCCCATGGAAAACTGATAATGCTTGTGTTAGATAAATAGTCGTATGAATTAAGAAATTTTCAAGTATATAAGAGAATACGAAGAGATTTTAATAAAATTTTGATTTATAATATATCTCTAAATATGCTTTACATATCGACTTGTGGCTTCGAGACACGAAACTGCGCTGTGTTCGTGTAAAAAAACACGACTTCCGTCAGGAAATTAGATAACGTAAGAAACTTCAAACATCGAAATGTCGAGTTACTCAATCTTCTTATCAAGAGCTGCTCGACGATATCTATATATATATATATATATATATATATATATATATATATATATATATAAACTCAGCATAATTTCAATCTATTAGTAAAGTGAAAATTTAAAAAAAATGCGAAGGTAAGCAACGATGTCCCGAAAATAATTTATAAATCTATATATTTTTCTTTGTATTTTTGAACATAAAATATTAAAAGATGGAAAAATAGTCAACTTAAATTTTACAAAACTAAGCACGTGTCTCTCTAAAAATCGATTTCTTCGAATAATTAAAATTATTTCACTTCTACTTCTACTTTTACGTACCTCGAAAAAAAATATAAATGAACACGATTTGTATCTCCTTATATCTTCAATAAATTATTATTACGTTTCTCTCTCTTTCTTTCTATAAGAAGAGGATTACTCATCGGAGTCTCTTGATACGCAGCTTATCAAATTCCTCGCCGACAGAGTCATTGAAATTTTAGGTCACACGAGTTGTGCCTTCGTGGCTTCCGTAAAGTTACACGTGTTACGATGTTTACGCACTATGTAACACTATGTAGCGTAAGCTGTGCGGCGTATCGCGTAAATCATGCGTCGCCTTAATTGCAACGTAATTGAAGCCACATTTACGGCCCATTGTTTGCAGAGAGTACGCGGGGAAGGCATGAATGAACGGCTACGCGCGAGCGTAAAACGCACTTGTGCGCCATTTAATTCGTTATGACCTCCCACTCTTTCCCCTTCAGATATAACTACTATAAGTTCGAATCCTCTCTTAAATCTCGTCGACGCCACGCTGGGAGTCATGGGACTCGCTTTATTATGAATGACGTTTTTATCTCGCTATTCTCGATAGAATTGCTACGTTACTAAGAATGTAGAATAGATCAATTGACACTGTTACTTTAAGTACACAAATTCCACATCGATTATCTTATCTGAATTGCATGTGTAATTTTTCATAAAAATGAGAAAAGTTTGATACCAAGTATATAAGTATACATTTTTATGTGTTTTTACAAATAAAATTACGAGCAAAATTGTGATTTCGACAATTAATTTCGACAATTTAACACTGTTATTTTAAGTACACAAGTTTCGACAATTTAACACTGTTATTTTAAGTACACAAATTCTCCGATTATCTTATCTAAAATTCATCGATTATCTTATCTAAATTGCATCTATGCATCAGCTGTAACTTTTCATAAAAATGAGAAAAAGTATATAAGATCATTTTCTTGTGTTACAAGTAAAATTACGAGTAAAATTGTGATTTCGACAAATGATACAATTTAAATAAATCTAGTAGTTAGAAAAATAAAACCCAAAAAATATCGTGAGCATTTAAATAAACTTTTAAATTTAAATCTCACAGTGTTATGTATTTGTGCATGCGAAAATATATCGTGTCCCTTTGAAAATATTTATTCGTCGCGTTGAAAAATATTTTTCGCTATTTTTCGGTGAATAATTAACAGATTATTTCATTTGTTCCAATTTGCACTAAGATTATTGCAATTAAATGATATTCAATTGTTGACGAAGAGCAAATATATCGCAGAGGAAAGATTTTACAGTTATTATTGAGATTTTCAGATTATTTATCACTTGCTTATCGAAGAGCAATGTTGAAATTTTCTTTAGAAATTTGAATAATTGGAATCCGATGAAATAAACGACAAAGAACGCCGTTCTTCGTCCCGTGGAACGCGGTGACGGTCTAATTAGGAACTCGAATAATTTACTCGAA